AAAGCCCAGGACCAGATGGTTTCAGCGCAGAATTCTACCAGATCTTCAAAGAAGAGTTAATACCAATACTCTCTAAATTGTTCCACACAATAGAAACAGAAGGAACATTACCAAACTCCTTCTACGAGGCTACAATTACCCTAATTCCTAAACCAAACAAGGATACAACAAAGAAAGAGAACTACAGACCGATCTCCCTCATGAACATTGATGCAAAAATACTCAATAAAATACTGGCAAACAGACTCCAAGAACACATCAAAACAATTATCCACCATGATCAAGTAGGATTCATTCCAGGGATGCAAGGGTGGTTCAACATACGAAAGTCCGTCAATATAATACACCATGTAAATATTTATATATTTAAACATATCTCAATGTTGGAAAGTCCAGTTTAAAAATATACACCAGACTGAAAAGCACTCCAGTTTTATGTGGAGCTCACTATGAATTGACCTTGGAGAAGTAGAAGTTATCTGGGTAAATCAGTTAACAAACACAAGGACCTTGGGCATTCCTGAATGCTATTGTAGACTTTATAAACATTGCACTTGTTCTTCACTTAGTGTCATTTTTATGGGTCTTTCTTCAATCATAAGGTCACCTGAGTAGATTGTGACACTATAAATTTTCATACAATTACCTTTTGAACCACATTGCAGTCTTCACGAAATGGAGAGGTTGGTCATCACAAAATGGATTCCATTTTTGGGTTTTTTGTTATTGTTTTGGTTTTGATTTTTTTAAAGAGAAAGAATGTGAAGTTGGGTGACAGAAAAATCTAGGAAGAAGAGTTGATGGGGGAAAATAATATTATCAAATATATTTGTTGCATGAAAAATTTTAGATGAAAAATTAATATGCTTAAAACGCAAGTGCACTGTACACATGTATTAAAATTTTCTAAAATAATGGTAAAAGTATGTATATTAAGTATATACCATAAATACAGTAATTTATGAGTATTATCAACTGGGATGCTCAGATCAACAGTGCTATTCTTTGTTATGATTGACAGCACAATAATTTATATATATATGTGTGTGTATATGTATGTATATATATATATTAATATTACATCAGTATATCACAAGAAGGTGGACAATGTTTTGTCTTATAGCAAGACTGCTAAGACAGAATTGGATATAGTGGTCTTTCATTTCATTATTATCTTATGTGACAACTATCATAAATGTTAACTGTGATTGAATGAAATGTTTTTGCACATGACTGTGCTTGACTCAAAAGCACATTCTGACTTAATGATAGCAAGCTTTCAGTGAAATTTAAAGAAACATTTTTTATTTCCTGCCTTTAACACAAAGATTAGAAGATGACATTATTTTAATCATAAGTGTGTAGAAGTTTAAATACCAAATATAAATGATTGGGGCAATGTATTAAAATGAATTAAATTTTAGTCATGTGCTTTTGTGTCTCTTTCTCTGTGTGTATACACACACACACATACACACAAACACACATACACAAGGAGAGCAAAGAAATACCATTGGGGAGCCTGAGAGAGAATTAAGGAGGGTGACCTTGTTGACCTCTTTTAGGCAATGCCCGCCTTCACCAAGCCTAGTCATTATGGGATTGTCCTTCACCCTATTGGTTAAGTACATAGACAGCATAAGTATTGTGGAATCTATCTCTATACCTGAGCTGATCTCTGTTTAATCATCTGTTCTCTCTTACACTTAGAACGTTCCATCCAGTGTCTCATAAACAAATATTTTCCCCGAAGGAATGAATAAACTATACATCAAAATGAAGAGTTTAAAACTGCTCATAAGATGTATATTTAAAATTGGTTTAAATTGGTTTCTGCATGGAAGATTATTCGTGAGGGTGTGCATCAAAATGAGAGAAAAGAGATAAATGTAAAAGAAAATACATAGTTTTCTCAGGTTCTCATATGACTTGTAACGGCAGTGCAAGGAGGAGTTGCAGTTCAAATTGTCTGACATCAAAGATATACAATCTTTCCTTATCCTTGGAATGCAAGAAGAGAGTCACTTTTTATTAGTTTGTTGAGTATTTACTAGATACCAGGTCTTTGCTAGATCCAGGTGGTATGATACTAAAAGTGTGAAAAGATATACAGCATTAACTAATGATTGTGTGTGTGTGTGTGTGTGTGTGTGTGTGTGTGTGTGTGTGTGTGTGAAAGTTGGACAAGACAGACACATGATCTACTGAAAATGATTAGTGTCTTTCAAGGATCATAGTAGTGATATATAATTACAAGCAAATTCTTTCAATTGAAGGGAAATTCATTTATAAGTAATAACTTGGGAGCAGTATTACGGGGTGTTGTGTGACTTGTCCTGCAGAGACATGAATGCCTATTCATCTCAAACAGGGTACCAATGATACACCAAAAACATGCTACTCAAGCCTAGCATGGTTAACTGATGAGTTTATTAGGGTTACTCTGGGAGCATAGTTGAGGGATCTCTTTACAGAAGCACTGGTGTAGATGCTTTGTAAAATATGTGTTATGCATATTTAATGTTCGTTTTAACATGGATGGTACTGCTTGTGTATGAGGTAGCTAAAAGTTATCTTGATGGTGAAATGAGCAGGGAATCATGAGTTAAGTGGCAGAAAATGGCTAAAATTATGTTATATTTCTTTTCAAGTTTATTTATTTATTTATTTGTTTATTTTATATCCTGACTGCAGGTTCCCTTTCCTCCTTACCTTCCATTCCCTTTCCTCATCTCCCCTCTACCTACCCTCTCAATCCACTCCTCCTCTGTTTCTGTTTAGAAAAGGGCAGGTCTCCCATAGGTGTCAATAAAGCATGGCACATGAAATTGCTGTAAGACTAAGAACCTCTCTCTGTACCAAGGATGGACAAGGCAACCCAGTATGAGGAACAAGGTTCCCCCAAACAGTCAAAGCGTTAGAGACAGTCCCTGCTCCCACAAGCTACACAACTATCACATATATCAGAGGGCCTAGACTGGTCCCATGTAGGACCCCTTGTTATTGGCTCAGACTCTGTGAGCCCCCATGAGCCGAGGCTACTTGTCTCTGTGGGTTTTCTTGTGATGTCCCTGACTACTCTGACTTGTACAATCCTCCCTCCCTCTGTTCAGGATTCCCAGAGCTCAGCCTGATGTTTTGCTATGGGTCTGTGCATCTGTTTCAATCAGATACTGGATGAAGGTTCTCTGATGACAATTAGGGTAGTCACCAATCATGTTTGTCTTTCTGGTCTGGGTTACTTCACTCAGGATGATTTTTTTTCTAGTTCCATCCATTTCCCTTCAAATTTCACGATGTCATTGCTTTTAACAGCTAAATAATACTCCATTATGTAAATGTACCATATTTTCTTTATCCTTTCTTCAGTTGAGGGGTATCTATGTTGTTTCTAGGTTTTGGCTATTACACATAAAACTGCTATGAACATAACTGAGCAAGTATCCTTGTGGTATGATTGAGCATCCTTTGGGTATATGCCCTAGAGTGGTATAGTTGGGTCTTGAGGTAGATTGATCCCAAATTTGCTGGCTTCAGGTTGCGGTCTTTGATCCACTTTGACTTGAGTTTTGAGCAGGGTGACAGATATGGGGTATGGATTTATTTCCATTCTTCTACATCTGGCACCCTGTTATACCAGCACCATTTCGTAAAGATGATTTCTTTTTTCCATTGTATAACTTTGGCTTCTTTGTCAAAAATTAAGTGTCCATAGGTATGTGAATTTACATCTGGGTCTTCAATTCTATTCCATTGATCCACTTGTCTCTTTTTATGCCAATACCATGCAGTTTTTATTACTAAAGCTCTGTAGTAGAGCTTGACATAAGTGATGGTGATAACTCTAGAAGTTCTTTTATTGTACAGGATTGTTTTAGCTATCTTGAGTTTTTTTCTTTATCCACCTGAAGTTGAGTACTGTTCTTTCAAGGTATGTTAAGAATGGTGTTGGAATTTTGATGGGTATTGCTTTCAACCTTTAGCTTGCTTATGGTAAGATGTCCATTTTTGCTGTTAATCCTACTGATCTTTGAGAATGGGAGGTCTTTCCATCTTCTGATATCTTCTTAATTTCTTTCTTCAAATACTTGAAGAATTTGGGAAGTTGGGAAGAAAATATATTTTAAAATAGGAGTGATTCAGTTTACAGATGGAAGAAAATTGCTGAGAAAAATATACTGTAGCTTGGGGTTAAAGATTGATTTCAGTTCTCAAGAAGTTATTCATACCATTGGTTTAAACATAAAAAGAAAACCCTTTTATATGTTAATAAGGAATGAAGTGGACTGGTAAAAGTGGCAAAATGAAATGCAGTTTTACTCAAAACATAAGCTTACTGTATGCTTGAAAGGTGTTGAGGTTTTTGTGACAAACTTATGCCATTTTGTATCTTCTTTGCTCCATCCAAAGTATAGAATAATATAAATATCAAAGGATGGTAGCGAAAATCCTCTGTACACCAATATTCTAAGGTGTTACATTTTAAATAACATTGAGACAATTATTAGTAACTCGGTAGGCCTTACTTGCTTAAGTTCTGCTGAACTATATTGAGTTTGTGCCATAGACTAGTATCTTATGAATTTCTAACAAGTCCTTAACAGAGAAGTGAAACTGTATAGAGTAGTAAAGATTTATTCTTAAAGAGTAGCTAAAGCGTGTAAGTATATTTACAATTGTATTTTGTACAAATATTTAGAATAGTAGTCATGGTTTATTTACCTTTTTTAGTCTACCTTTTATTGAATATTCCCAAAAAGATTTTTTATCAAGGCCTACTTTTTTAATTTTGTATTTTATGAGATTGATTTTAAAAATTACCAGTGTTTTGTTATGAACAGACAGTAGTGTTCATTGGGGCGTGTCTACTTAATTCATATTCACATACCAGAGAGCTCTGATTCAATGTATAAGGATTTCTTAATGATATTGAATTTTTTGATATATTTCTTTATCATATGAAGTATTTTCTTTGATTTTTAAAATTCTAATTTTGACAGGTGAATGTCAATAAGGATGTTTAAGTCCTGGACAGCTGTTTTGATTCTTGGATTCATCTTCCTGGAGTCCGAAGGAAGGCCAACAAAAGAATCAGGATATGGCATTAAATCTTATCAACCTCTTATGAGATTACGACATAAGGTATGGCCTAGTTTTCAGTCTATTCAAATGCCATCTAGTCGATTTGTAAACTAAGAGATTAAATGTGAGTTTACTATTCATTTAGGGACACTTATTTCCAAACATGCTTTCAATAATTTTCATTTTGTAAAACAATGAAGCTTTAAAAATGGGAAATATCAGCAACTGAAAAATTACAGTTTTGTGAATAAAATACTGTCTTGATGATGAATAGATGTATTCTGATTATAAAACATAGTGCAGTAGGTAGGAGCTGGGGAGAGAGATTAATGGGTAAGAGCACATATGGTTGTTGCAAAGAACCTGAGTTTGGTGCACAGTTTATCTGGTATCTCATATCCACCCCAGCTCCAGGGGATCTAGCATCTTCTAGATTCTATGCCAGTTGCACGCACATGTACATAAAACAACAAAGTCACGCACATGTGCACATCACTAAAAAATAAAATCATTCATTAAAAACATGTTAAAATTTCTCCTGAGTATTAGTAATGACTTATATACCAAGAGTTAAGACAGAGTCAGTCAGTTAATTTCTATTATTTTTATACATATCTTAGAGTATTTTAAAGCGAAAACAATGTATTACTTTCTATAAATCTCTACAAAGATACATGTTCACATATGCATATGTTGGAAAAGTTCAGTGTCAATAGAAATTATTGAATATTTTTATGTCATCAAAAATCATTAAATTTTAGGTTCTGTAACATAAAAAGAGAAGTGTTTCTTAGAAAAAACTTTTTCATGTTCAACTTTTTTAACTTCAAAATAAACAAGTTTAACTTATGATATCACATATACAGTAAATGATAATTTTGTGCTGCTTTTTTGCTTTAAAATGCATGTCTTGAGATCAGAAACCTTATCCATGCCCTTCCTGGTACTGTGAGACACTTTTGTGGTAAATTCTTGGTAGAGAATTAATGGATAAAATGCTTAATTATATATCATTGGTTTTCTGCATAATACAAGACCACAGATTTGTGCATCAGTGTGAATATTTATGAGAATATTTTTCAGTTAAATTTACATGTTAAAATATGATATACTTATCTATGCAGTTTGACCTATTTTAAAAGAAAAATATAACTGAATGAATTAAACTTGAGAAGAACATACATGCTCTAAAATTATTATATCTTAATATTTTTATTGTACCCCTATTTCTAAATCAATAGCAATGATATATGATGGTTGGTATTTAGAAAACAGGACAGGAATTGCCATGAAAACACATCACTTTTAAGCAGCTTTGTTCAGCTCTAAGATTAAGCTGTATATAAAAGGTACCTAGTGACAGTGTGTATGTGTGTAAGCCTGTATGTGCTCATACGTGTGTGTGTGTGTGTGTGTGTGTGTGTGTGTGTGTGTGTGAAAGTGGATATTTAAAAAGAGTGAGAGAAACTAAACTGAACAAGCCGTGGGAAGCAAGACAGTAAGTAGCATTTCTTCATAGTGTCTGCTTCACTGGCTGCCTCTAGGTTCCAGTCCTGGGTTCCCATCTTGAGTTCCCTCAATGAACAACTGTGATTATGACAAGTAAGCCAAATAACATCCAAGTTGCTTTTGGTAACGGTGTTTATCATAGTAAAGAAAGCAAACTAAGACAACCTACATACTCAGTACATTTTGAAGCAAACAAAAAAGGGACTAATTTGTCAAATCATATTGAAATGTTACAACAGATATGAACATATGCGTACATATTTCATCATCTCCAGCTGTATGTATCAAAAATGTGATTAAAATTCATATGTCTGTATCTTGCAGTAAAAATGAGTAACAATAAACTTGCCATGCTAATTATAGAAATCTTAATTATACTCTACAAATATAAGTCTGAGGGAGAGCTGATTGTGTGTTTTACTAATGTGTTTATCTCACTACATTTATGCAACATCATCTGAGGCATTTCATTAGCACCCAGGAACTGCAAAATGCAATCACTAAATCCAAACCACACAAAGTTCTGCTTTTATTTATTATGTTTTTAAACTTAGATATGGTGTACTCTTGTACATGCCACTTTCTTACACATTGTCATTTAATTGTGGTGTCGTCTGGGATACAGGACTGCTCTTCCTCTTCATTTGAGTGATGTTATTATAACTCAGTGAGCTGAACTGAAGTAGCCTTCCTAAGAGCAAGAGAATGCAACAGCCATCATCAACAAAACAGGAAAATAAGAATGTAGGACAGAGGTTGGGCAGATACACCCTAAAATTAAAGACAGTAGTCATAAAGTAACATGATAATGACCTAAGAGAAATGTCTGTTTCTTAGACTGTTGCCTCTGCTCCCCCCAAAGCAAAACAACTGTATTTTCATATTGTTTTCTGAAGTGAGTATCTACTGATGGTGATTGTAGCCTAGCTTAGGGCAACCTTCAAAAGAGGACTTACTAGGAGAAATAGAAATCACCTGGGTTATTGCTTTGATACCAGGAATCTGCACCACAGGCATAGTTCAATAATGATAGACTACCATGTGCATTGTGAAGAGTTTCAAAATTTTGAGACATTGGTGCCACTTGAGAATTAGTATAGTTGGAGTACCAGACAACATCAGATGTAACTGTGTCACCAGATATTTATTTCTATGTAGCTGCCACTCCAACTTTATTCTCTATGTTAGGTCCCATAATTTTCGTATTGCCTCTATTTTCATTTTATATTATTGACTTCATTCTCTACATTAGATCCTTTAATTTTATGGGCATTCTCATGGAAGAAATGGATTTATTGCTGTTTTATAGATAAGGGAACATGATTTCATGGATGTTTAGAATCTATTTATTTTAATGTCACCCTAAATTACAGATTGGGATTTTAAAAATAGAGTCAAATAATTTGATATAGATTTTTTTTTAAAAAATGAGTGTTTTCATAGTGTTAGAACTCTGTGCCATGTGTTCACAATTTTGATACATTCTCATCCTTGTGGTCCTTACAAAAGTAGAATTACATATTTTATCACATTTATTCATTTTATTTTTAATGTGTGAGCATTTTGGCTACACGAATGTATGCTTGTCACTTGCCTGTTTGGTGTCCAGAGTAGTCAGAAGAGTGCATTGGAACCTCCAGAACTAGAATCACAGATTGTTATAAACCACCATGTGGGTACGGGGAATAGAATCTGACTTGTCCACAAGAGGAACACATCCTTTTATCTGCTGAGATGTCTCTCCAGCCCCCACAATAGTTGTTTGGATCTCTTTGTGGTTATGTGTACTCTTTCCTCCACCTCTTGATTTTTTCCCTTTATTTTCCTTTCCTCACCCCTGCCCAAGTCTCCTTGCTTGGTCAGCATGTGCGTTACAATGCCTGGTTGTGCGATAATGGTGAATTTCTGCAAAAAGTGAGATACAAGGTGTAGCAGACCACTTCAAATACACTTGCTTGCCATCTTGACCTCTGCTAGTCCTCCAGTTTCATTACTACTTGAAAACTAATCCCCTTAGTAAATTTCTCATTTACAGTGCCATGATGGTTTACAATTTCCATGACAACCATAAAACTGACTAAATAATCAATCAGGAAGAGGAGGACAGATCCTTGGGGACACTGCGACACTCTCCTAGAAATGTTAAGAATATTCTACACTTACCAATCTTTTGATCTTCCCATCCCATGAAAGTATATGACTTTTAATCTTCTGGTAATGTTGGGGGCAGCACTGAATTAGACTCCCAGTTCTGGTCTTTTACGGACCATTGAATAAAGTCTTATCTCCTTGCTTAGTATCTCCTCTGGGGCCACATGCTGTCTTCTAGTATGTTAAAGAAAGAAACTTGTCTTGGAGAAAATAAGGTACCATTGTGGCCAGTGAGTTAAGAACAGAGCTGTGTGAAGCATAATTGTCGGCACATTTTCCCATAACTGAAAAAAAATCTCCCAGAACTCTCCTTTACCCCATAGCATGACAAATATTAACCATTTAACTTCCCAGTCTGTCCAAAACACATGATGAATAATATATCTTGCTAGGGTATCACGGAACAAGGAATGGAGGACAGCTCTTTATTATGTTAATTCATTGAATTTGGGATTTGTCTGTCATCTTCTTGTGCTCCCAGCTTCCCTTCACAGATAAAGACAAAGCTAGAACTCTTTCCTATGCCTACTGCCCATCATTCCCGTGTGAAGTTTTTCTTCCTGTTCCTTTTTTTGGCTCCTTATTTCATTATCATTTTTGACATTTTCACATCTTCATTTTCCCCTTATTCCCCCGCCACCTACTAGTTGCTTACCTGGAATATCTCAGAACAAGTCAGCCTCCTCTTCTGTGTGTAACCTGTAATATTAATGTACTGGCATCTCCAGATATCAACAAGCACTTTACTTGCCGGACTGTAAATCTTCCTTGCATCAGCGCCTACCTTGCCTGCTTCTTTGCCTGTAGTGCTGATCATACTGCCACTGTATTGACTGATGGAAGACTGCATGAGGACCACAGTATTCTTTGAGTGTCTCTAATGGGGCCACTTGAAGGCCTTTAAGTGTCTGTATCTCTCTTTGACCAGAGTGTCATGTCCAGCTAACCTGGCAAATTGAAGTTGATCTATGATTTTTTTTTCTGCCCGAAATCAAAGAGTTTCCCTGTGAGGATCACTGTGTGAATGAAGCAAAGACTGTGTGAAATTTAATCATTCTTGAGAGTGTAGCTGTTCATGATGATACCATATAATTCAAAGAACTGATTTGTGAGATAAGGTTTTTTCGTTTCTTTTGCTTTTGTACTAACGCTGATAGATGTGGGCTAATGGAAAGCAGCAGGAGAGAAGTATAGGGACAAAGACAAACACTAAAGGAACCTCAGAGGCCCGGTGCCATGAGTCCTAGGCCAGCCTAGGGTACACAGTGATTTTCAGGCCATCTTAAGTTACAGTGTGGAAACCTGTCTCATATTCAAAAACAAGAAAATGTTTTCCCCCTTAATTTAAGAGACTGTGGCAACACTTGCTGAGCTAAGAGTTTTGAAAAAGTTTTAGTCAT